CCTTAACGATGCGACAGAGCGCAGCTTGCGAATGCACGGTCACCGAAACGCCGCTCGAAAAGAGAGAAAGAATCGACGACGCGATTGTCGCGATGATCGTCACGGAGAGAAAAAGGGAAGAGGCGTAACGACAAGCTCGTTCGTTGTTTCGAAAGAATAGCCTGCGGATTTAATACTAAACCTACCTACACTAGTCAAATTAATGTCGTCAAACTTTTACATGCAATTTTCCATGGGAAACGTTGCCATATAGCAATTTCTTTTTAGAACTTTTCCTAGAATATGCATACATGATATTTTTCCGTATTTACTTCTTCCGTTTTCCTTTTTCAAGAAATATACGTAAGCTGCTCTACCTGGCTCAGCCGGTCATTTTTATTCTTGTTGTTTCTGTTAATTCTCAAAGTTATAATTGCAATGAAAAGAGCTTAATTTATTCCGTCATTTTATAAAATTTGTTGTATTTAATATTTAATTCAATACCACATTGATTATTATTTACACTGAATTTTAAAGAATACAGCTTTTTTAAAGAACCGATCATTTTGACCGTTCACGGTACGAATAACTAGACATGAAGTGTTTATACAGTGTTAAGCGTCGTTTCCACCGCGTTGATCCCGTTCGGTTTTCCTTCGGAAACCGCCGAGTAAACCTCCTTCAGTTTTCTTTTCCTTTCGGCGAGCACAAGTTTGTAAAGAGCCGAGGCCACCGCTGTTCGGATTCGGGACTGTCACGGTCTGTATCGCGGCAGGCATGTCCAATTAACTAAGTAGGGCTTTCGCTCACAGGCGTCGTCTTCGAGGAGCCGTGTCGTCGCGTTTCTTTCGCGGAACGACTCGTGTCTTTCTCTCAGTTTTTCCTCGGAATTCGTTAGGACGACTCTCGCGATCGAACTTTGTTTCCGTTCGACTCGGCTCGGCACGCCGGCTGACTGCCCCGGGGCTTATTCCGAGGGGTCGATATGACGAAATCGAGTCTAGGTACGCACACTCGAACACGTTCTAGCACTTACCGCGGGAAACGCGTACGAACAGGCTCGCAGGAGGTTTTTCGAGGGCGAGGAGAGCCTTTCGATGACGCTGCGCCGGCTGCGCGGCGTTTAACCCTTAACCGGTGAGCCAGCTTTCGACGTAACCCCGTTTTCCCTCTGCGTACAATCGCGCTCCAACGTTTCCTCTCCGAGCAAGAGAGAGCCGAGCTTCCTCGAGGACCGGAGAAGATCGAACAAGAATCACGATTGGTGGGAGGGGCTGGAATCTATCGAGAAACCTATCGAAAACTCGTAAGACGCGCGCCGGTAAACCTTTGCATCGGGTAGGACGAAGAGTCGGCGACCATCGACCCATTAATCGCGATTGATCGGGGCTCGTTCCATTATCGGACAAGCCGTATTTGAATTGTAAAAATCGCGTTGCGCCGTTATTAAAAAGCCTCTTCCGGATATCCGAAGGAATACGACTGTTTTTCTCTTTGCCGCGGCCGAGTAATCGGCGCCGATAACGAGCGGCTCGGCGCTTCGGATGGAAATCCGATCGGTGATCGTTATCGGGAACATTCCCGCTCTTCTTTCGCGAGCTTCCCTTTCCACGGGAAAGAGGATCGACCGATCGGGTCGGGGTTCGAAAACGGGCCACCGGTTCATCCGACCGAGCCGATTCTTCCGAAAAGCGAGTATGCGAGTTCCCCCCTTTACGTTTTCATTGTTCTCGCTATTCTTTCTCCGGGCGCAGCCGTGGCGCTCCTGAAAAGGCTCGAATCGCATTGTAATTCGCAACTCGTTCGAGTCGTCGATCCGTCGACGTACGGAGACTCTGAACGATTCGCGAGAAACGTTGACTCGGTTAATCCTTTCGCTACAATGGACGAGGTATCTCGTCGGTGTGATATCATCGTGCGTACGATATCATGACGACGAGATATCTCGGCTATTGTAGCAAAGGGTTAATCGAGGTCCTAGCGTCGAGCGACGGCGTACGTGGGAAGGGAGGATCGCCGCTCGAGGATATTCGAGTGAAAGGGGTTGCCGTCGCGCGAAAGGAAGGGAAAAAAAGGGAGAAGAGTAATCGAGGAAAGAGCGTGGACGGTCGGCGGAGGTCGACGAACCGTTCAAATCGGCGAATCGATTCGCGGGACGAATCTCGTTTTCGCCCTGGCGTGGATTGGAGTGTCGCTCGGTCGACGGTCGACGGACGCGCGTTGAAACGGGAGGACCGGCTCGCGCGTTCACAATGGAGCCGCGCGACGCACACGCTCCCCTTTATCCCGTCGCCTGTGCACGGTCTCTCGCGTGCTTTCATTCTATGCAGCCGCGACGCGACGTTCTCTCGCCTGTTCCGGCGTCGTTCTTGTAACTTTACGCGGCGTGACCGAGAACTCGCGCCGGAGAAACGTGGAAGCGCGGCGACGAAGTGTCGGGATCGCGTGTCTCATCGAGGAAACCGCGCGACCAGGGAAAGATGAACCCAATGAAAAATGATCAACGCTAAACCTTCATATATGCCTATTCCTGCCGTGTCTGGTCAAATGATTGGTTATAAAATAGAGGTAAACAAGACAGTAGAGTAGGAACAGAAACAAAAGGAAGGGCAGGAATTAAGAGACTGATTAATCAAACAATATAAGAATTGATACAAAGTTAAATGCGCAGGAAAAATGCAGGCTTTTAAATCAAATTTTAAAATCTGTCACATGATCGCTACATTTAGCGTTAAACTACATTCCACGAGAAACTCGCTATAAAAACGGAGTCACAACTGCGCCGTGAACGGCGCGCGAGGTTAAAGTTGATCCAAAAGAATCCACGGATCAGAGAATTCGAGGACGTTGTTCCATTGTAGCGATCGGTAAAGGAAAGCCTCGTTTTCTCCGCGAAACGGTTTCAACATTCCCAAGATTCGACTCGGCGCCCGTGAATGGACTCCATTCATTCCGTTTACGTTTCTACCAGCCGACGACACGCGACTCGAACCCGTGCTCCGACCGACTCGCGTTATCGTGTCTACGCAAATATCGGGATTCCGTGAAATCGACGGGCACGGGATGAAAAGAGGCGATTTCAATGGGACGCCCGCGGGAACGAGACGGTTCGACGGGCATCGGTCGGCGAACGGGGTGACCGGGAACGAGATTCGCGAGAAAGAATATTTACGACTCCGCTCGAACGCGTTCCAAGTAGGTTGCCGTGCATCGTGCCGCGCGCTGCCTTTTGACCCACTTCGAAGCTCGCGCAAGCTCTCGTAACCTTAAAACCTTAAAGCCGCGCGCCACGCAACGACTATTCCAGTCTCTGTGCTTCTAATACGCCGCGTGCGGGCTTTGCCTTTGCACCGCGCGACCAATTTTTTCCACTCGTCCGTTACTCACCTTCTCGAGCGGGCAACTTTGTCTCTTTCCAGATAGAGGAGACCAGGCACGAATCCTCGATTCGTAGGTGTTGCTCGTTTACTCGGTGTAATCGGCGATCGATCGTGCTGAATCGATGTATCACCGAGGCGGTCTCAGTCCTATTCGAGCGCGTCTGCCGGTGACGCGCGCTCAGCCGTTCAGCGAAATATTAATTACTCGCTTGACAGGCTCGATCGAACGCGCATTCGTTCTTTCGATGCTGAAACGTACGAAAGACGAGTGCCTCTCGAGGACCTTCGGGGAAATTGAAAGCGGTTCGCCGGCGAAATGAAATTCGATGAAATTCGAGAGAGAAACAGCGCAGTCTACCGCGTACTCTATTGTATTCCCCTCTTCCGCGTCTCTAGGAATTCGAAATCTTGGTGCGAAAACTAATTCTTCTCTGGAACGCGAAACGACGCGGGATACGCATGTCTTTTCCATGAAATTTCGACTACATTTTTGGTAGATTCCGGAAACGGCGTTCGAAAACGACCCGACCGAGGCGAAGAGAAATTGGAAATTCCCGGTTGAACCGCGCGTTCCGAACGCTTGGAAGTCCGAATAAATCAATGCCGAAGCGATCGTGTTTCATTTCGCACTTGATCGCGGCTCGTGACTGCGGCCCGACGGGGTCAAGCGTTCCACGCTGATGCATCGACGTCTTCGACGATGTTCCGAGAGCGTGGTCGGGTTCAAATGGAAACTCGTTCGTCCGCGTCTTCGGTCTCTTATGGTTCTTCAATCTACCGGTACACTGTTACCTATATATCGGGAACGCTGAAAGTTCCCGCTCCAATCCCGATGGTTCCGAACATTCTCGATGTTTCGGTTCCTTTGAACGATTCGTTCTACTCGAAAGTTCGGAAGTAGTTCGCGGACTTGTTCCGTGCACGATAAATAAGCGTGCTCGTTGCAACCACTCGCGGCAATAATCGTAAAGTATCCGTTGTTCCGTGCCAAGAAGAGTCTTCTATCCTCTCTACGGTCGATCGCATTGTTTTACGCTGGCGGAATACCAACGTCGCTCTCCCGTCCCCCGAGTTTCCACGTCGAACTTGGTCAGCCTCGAACGCAGCTAGTTTCCCGCTTTCGTTCCGCCTCGAAGGAACGACCGAATACCGAAATGTCCACAGGACGACCTTAGACCTTGGCTGACAAAGGTTTAAGTTGACGGTGATCGATGGCGCGAAGGTTAACCGGAATTTCGCTTTCATCGATCCACCGGCGGAGAACCGCGGAGCGGGAAGATCTAGTCGCGATCGTGCTCCGTTAAAAGAACGTTTGCGCCCGTTAACGAGGCGAGTCCCGCGGCAACGACGATAAGCCGATTAACCGAGCCGAGAAAGCCGGATCTCGTCCGAGCGGTCGAACGAAGAATGGAAATGCCGATTCGATGGGGCGCGCATGCGAGAAAGACCATGCGAGAACTGGAATGCTCGGAATGTTAATCGTTTAATGGACGTATAATCGGTTAATGGGAGTCAGGGTTCAGCGTCGGCTCCTTGGCAAGTGGCGCGCCTCCCGCCACCGGATGGTCTCCTCCTATTTTCGTTCGGCCGATCGGTGCGCCGGGACAGACCGGATATAGGGACAATAAATTGAATGCGCAGGGCGTGGGATGATAAATGGTGGCGACCAGCAGCATGGTGTATGAGGAGATAGTCGGGATACGGGGCAGCTGACCCCAGCCACCGCGCACGCTTTTCACGCGCGAGATGCCCCACAACTTGAACTCCGCTTCCGCCAACTCCGCAAACTCCGCCAACGCCGCCAACAACACCACCAACAATACCGCCAACAACACCGCCAACAACACCGCCAACGCCGGCAACACGGCGCCGAATCATCAGGCCTACGCGAACCATTCTTATCACCGACCGAACGGAGATGGACTCCAGCCAGAGGTATCTTTCCTTTCGAAAACAGCAAAGGTCTCGAGACCCGTACCCGTTCCCGATCGCGCGATACTCTAGAAACAGGATTTTACAGAAGGAACCGGTGGAGTTCGACACGTCGCACCTGCGGGGCGCGCCGGCCGAGGTCGAGGCTCTGGTGCACAACATCAAAGAAGTCGCGCAGCAGTTCCTCTACCATTGGAGAACGTTCCCGATCGTGCTTCCGCCGCCATTGTCCACCTGCTCGGAACCGGAGGACACGCTGGCCAGAAAGAAACACCACTTGAGGGACCTGTTCGTCGCTCCTAGTTTCGACGAGCTGGACTCGGTTGCCGTGGACAGCAAAGGCGAGCCGAGGAGGTTGACCAAGAAGCAGCTCGAGTGCATCAGTAAACGAGGGTAAGTCCTCCGGCACCGAGATCGTTTCTCCTCTTCCCATCGCCGTCTCCGTAGATAGGACACTCGAACCCTCTAGCAGCGCGTCCTTAATCCAGCGGTTGCAGAATCCGCTATCGATGTTTCATCGAATTATCGACGATCCGATTACTGTTTCTCTCTTTCTATATCTCTCTTTCTATCTCTTTTCCTCGCATACTTTTCCCGTCTTTTATCTCGCCGAGCTAGCTGCAACCAATGGGTTAACGATAGACCTCCCTCATCTGAGTAACGCTTTTCCAGAAACACGATAGTTCTGACTAGTAGCGAAGCGTGTTCCGTTAGAATTAGAGATTAGCGATTCCGATCGGCACAGGTATGTACACTTACTTCTTGTTCTAGAAGATCTAGAGGATCTAGGAGATCTAGAAGGTCTAGAGGATCTAGAAGATCTAGAAGATCGCCGACACTCGTGTCCACGAACACGTCCCTCGATATATCACACGTAGGCTTTTGATCGAAGCTCTGGCACACGCGAACGCTAGCCTCTTTGTCTCTATCGTTCCGAGCCCCGTATAATCGTTGCGTAGGTAGCGTAGAAACGGATCGAAGATGAAAGAACTAGAACGATAGCGGACCAGTCACCCGATTATGCCCCTCCACCGTCCCTGACAAAATTGGCGCCTCGTTTTCAAGATCCCGAAACGTTCTCCCTCCTCCGACCGATACATTCTAACGATTTTTGTAAAGCTTTCAGAAGGAGAAGTACGGAAAACCGAAGAAGCTGAATGCCACTCAATTGGAGAGCATTCGAAGATGCGGGTATGTCATGCATCAGCGTCACACAATATTCACGGAACGACGGATCGATAGTCTCGTGCAGCGACTTAGAGACTGATATCGCTCATTCTCGTGACCCTTGACGATGTGGACCCTTTCGCATTCCCTACCCACTAATTAGAGAAATTGTCGCACCGAGTCCGACACAGCATGATCGTCCTTGTCCTGTCGTC